TCCATTTTGCTCGGCGACATAGACAATATAGAATCGCCTCTCAGATTCAAGGTTTCTTTCGAATGCACCACGACTTACTTAATGACAACATTGGTGTCGTATGTTGTCATGAAGTAACACTTTCTTGTTGCACCGGCACCCAAAACAGTGTGATTATAATTATAAAAAATGAATTATATTTCCTTCTCTTTCACCTCATTAGAAACAGCCTTTAGTTTTAAATCAAAATGTATTGCTACTAGCAATCAGCGCACCCATATCAATTGCAATGACTCTTCACTGCAAGTTTGAAGGAACAATCCTTTTACTATTCGCTTCACCAAACTTTCACAACAACTCCTGTATTACCAACACTGGGCTCATTAATCGAGATGAAGGTGTAATTTGTGGTAAAATTGAATGATTTGCCATTGAATGAGCAACTTGTTCGTGAAAAAAATCACCGCCCAACAAACCAAAGTCAAGGAGAAAAAAACATGCAGATAAACTCGGAGAAGTGATGGTAAACTAAATAATATTTGGTAATTTTAAAAAACAAGTTGAGAAGTTTGTTAACTTGTTGACTGCTCATAAGTAGTTATAGTAGGTCACCTCTCTCGAACTCGCAAAAATAGCATACTATGAAAATCACTTTATTAGGGTTTTTTTAACTTTTTGGACCCCCTTTTTTAACACAGTGTTATCCTACAGCTATTTTTCAATTTCAAAACCTTCGAAACCCCCAAAGGATGAAACAGTTTTTATTATTGATTTCCCTGGTTTTTGAGAAAAATTTCTTCAAAAATCGCAAAGGATTAACCTTCATTTATATGGGTTTTTACGACCTTCTTTTTCAAGGTCGAATGACATAAAATTGCCTAAAATTTGCTCATTTTACACTAAAATGTTGTTTATTTTAAAATTTATATAAAAATAAAAATTTGAGAAAATATATGTTAAAATAAATATAAATTAGTATTTTGAAAATAATTTTTAAAAACTAATTTAAAAACTAAGTTCGAGAGAAGTGACCCAGTATAGTTTTGAAAATAATTTAAAAAATAAATTTTGAACAAGACTAGAACATAAACTAACATAATAAGGAGAACCGAAACGAAGTGAGGTTCCACGAACAATATATATATATAAAATATTTAATTTCGAGGTCGAGAATTTCCGACCTTTGACTTTATAGTTTAAAATAAATTAGAAATGAGTTTTAGAGAAGGAATTGATATTAAACAAAAACAAATTAAAGAACATTAAACAAGAAGATTGCGACATAGAGAACAACTTGTAAATCAAAAACGTAATAAATTATTTATGGAGAACATACCTTTTAATAATTTAACAATTGATTATCCATTTAAGAGTTTAGATAAATATGAATCTATATTGAAAAAAGATATCAATAAGAAACAAATAATTAGTCAAGACTTCAATCCGAAAACCATGAATAAACTTTATTCAAGACTTTATTACTCTCCATATTTTAATAGTTATGAAGTCGATTTAGCTTTCTTTGATTCCAGAAACAGCACCAAACAAAATATCTACATGTTCATTATTAATATTAACACAAAATATTTATATGTATTTTCACTTTATAATAAAAACAATGACAGTTTAATAATGCCTTTTAATACTTTACTTAATGTTGGAGTCGTTTTTGATAACATACGTTTTGATGGTGAATCTGCATTGAATAGCACTTATATGTCAAATTATTTCAATAAATTGAATATAAGAACATATTCATCTTCATCCAAACATATTAATAAAAACAGAGTTGTAGATCGAGTTATCAGAACAATTAGAACTGCTTATGATAATACAATGTCAAGATATGTAAACAAAAATCAGGATATACTTATTCAAGATATTGTTACTTACTTTATTTTTTCAAAACATAATAAAACTGGTTATCGACCTATTGATATGCAATACATACCTAATTACAACAATATGTATAAATGCTATCAACTTGAATATGATTATATTAAACAAATGGTTAAGAAGAATGATGAAATATTATATAAACAATTTGAAAATGGATTTTTATCTTATATATATGGAGACAAGTTAATAATATATTTGGATAATAGCAAAGACAATACTTTCAGAAAGACAAGAAACTATTTTAGTACTAAAGCAACAATGATAAGATATGATCATGGTAACATAGTATGTAAACTTGATGATAATGATAAATTTGTAACGATTCCATGTTATTTTGCACTTCGTGATTACATATAATTTTATATTAATAATACAATCTACGCGAAGCTTATTTACAATTTGTTATTTATGTATATGTATATTTTTGTTTTATAAAATGAGAAAATTATACATGAATTTACATAATAATAATTGCAAAGTAATAAATTCATATCAATTTGAGGTTGAATTACCAATTGAATTTGTTTCTTCTACTAATAATAATAAATGTGTTAATACAATTGCTACTAGATTTTATAATTCATCAGGTCAGATTGATTGTGGTAATATTTTAAGAAGTGATTTGAATACTAGTAATGATTATCCTTCACAAGATGGTTTTATAATTTTTGCTAACAGTGATAATCAAAAATCATTTGAAATCAAAGACAATAAACAAAAAATAAAAATATGGTTTACTGATTACAAAAATAATATAATCAATATTGATTCTGATTATTATTTTAAATAACAGTTAGAATTAATGTTTTAAACACTATGTATTCTTGGTGTTATATTTGTTGTTAATATTTTTTGTTCTTTTAATTTGAATAATCTCTTTTTAAACAAATATGAAAATATTTTTAATATTGTAATAAATATTATCAGAAATATAAATGATAATAATGATGCTAATTCTACTATTTTTTCTAATTCAACCATTTAGTGTTTTGAAAAAAATGACTTACCATAAATCATTTCTAGAATTATAATTATTATAAGCAACACTTGATTCACAAATATCATAAATTGTAGTTGTAGTAGTTCTTCCTAATAAATTAATAATATATGTTTTATAATCAATAAAATTAGATACAGCTTTGGATGACATATATATTTTTAGTGAAGAACCTTGACATATTTCTGTAATAGATGATGTATTTGTTATTTGTAAATTTGGTTCTATTAGATACATTCCATTATTATATATATTTATATTACTCCACATTAAATTTGGATTACTTCCTGAATAACTAATACCAGGATAAAATAAATTATTAAGATTACAATATAAATAAACACATATTGGTTTAGTTGTTACATATATTATGTTACTATTTGATGTAAAATTCTTTGGTAAATATAAACTGAAATAATTAAAACAATAATATCCATCACCCCATAAATAACTAACTGTATCTGGTATTATTATTGGATGTTGATTTACATTAAATAGATTTTGTACTGTTGTATATACTATTCCATTTAACATACTTCCACCACTAAATTGTTCAATAACTTTATAAATTTCATTATTAATAATTACATATGGAACTACTTTTACTATTCTATTTGTTGATAAGAATTCTGTAACATTATCAATTTTTATTCTAAAATATGCAGTTTTATCAGTTTCTGATTTAATAGAATAAGTAACATTTTTATATGTCGTCACATCTTGTGAAATTATATTTGGATATGGATATATTATTTTTGGAATTGGTATTGAAGCTATTTTTGTATCTGTGTACGCATTACATGAAGAACCAATATTGTCGCTGTAAGAGTTACACGCTGATGCAATCATATCAGAATATGTATTACATACTAATGCTACATTATCACTATAACTTTTAGATTTATTATAATATGTTAATATTTCAGAATTTACATAATCAGTAGAAAAAATATCTTTTGTATTTATACTTACTGTTCCATCTATGCTTGTAATTTTATCAGTTTTAATTTCATTAGATGTTATTGTAGAAGGATTAAAATATGATGTGCAAAAAACACTATTTTTACTTTTATCTTGATAAGCTGTTGAAAATACTTCCATTTTTATAAATTAAAAAAAATGCTTAGACTTCTTTAGAAGTCGTTCCATTTATTACTAAAAATATGATAAAAATAATAAAATAAATTAGTATATAGTTTTGTTTAATTAATATCAACAGTTTCCATTTCAGCTTTTGGTTTTACTTGTGCTATCTTTTTCATAAACTTTTGATCAGCTATTTTTTCAGCTTCTTTAATTGTGTTTTCATCTGGAGCTCTTCCTTGTCTAATTAATTTAATAAGTTCACTTCTAGCCTTTCTATCATGAATATCATTTATTTTCTCTATACCACTATTATAATTTAATCTTTCAATATTCATATTTTCTTTAATTATTTTGTGTAAAGTTATCATAAAGTCGTCATATTCTTTTTTACTAATCGTATTTCCAATTAAACCATTTACTACAGATGCTAAAGGTTGAATAAAACCTTTGTTTTTAGCTAATTCTAAAATAGCTTTTACAGCAGCATAATAATTTTGTTTAAAAATGGAATCAGATCTTATAATTCTAAATTTAATTTTCATATCTCCAGAAAGTAAATTAGGATCAATTAATAAATCATCTACAATTCTTTTTTTTAAATACATCAACTGCCAATGTCAAAAGTTTTCCAGTTGTAAAATATGGATATAATGCTTCTTTGATCATATCATCTAATCTAGGTTTAGCTGTTTTAAATTTCGATAATTGAGCAAATCCTAACTTAGATTGAGCATCATTTTTCAAATACGAATTATAAGATTTTATTTTTCTTTCATCTCTATTAGTATTATGATAATAATCTGTATAATATGGTTCATGAGATGGTTTTTTTGGATCAACATAATATTGATTAAAAGCGTAAACTCTACCTTTATCATCATAAGCAATATAATCATTAACACCATCTCCATCAACATCGAATTGAGTATTTTTTTAAAT